ACATGTGTCCTGTAGAGGGATGGATATTGACATGTGAATAGTTGTCAATGTTCAGTACATGTGTCCTGTAGAGGGATGGATGTTGACTTGTGAACATTTGTCAATGATCAGTACATGTGTCCTGTAGAGGGATGGATGTTGACTTAACAGTTGTCAATGTTCAGTACATGTATCCTGTAGAGGGATGGTTGTTGACATGTGAATAGTTGTCAATGATCAGTACATGTATCCTGTAGAGGGATGGATATTGACATGTGAATAGTTGTCAATGTTCAGTACATGTGTCATGTAGAGGGATGGATGTTGACATGTGAACATTTGTCAATGATCAGTACATGTGTCCTGTAGAGGGATGGATATTGACATGTGAATAGTTGTCAATGTTCAGTACATGTGTCCTGTAGAGGGATGGATATTGACATGTGAACATTTGTCAATGTTCAGTACATGTGTCCTGTAGAGGGATGGATATTGACATGTGAATAGTTGTCAATGTTCAGTACATGTGTCATGTAGAGGGATGGATGTTGACATGTGAACATTTGTCAATGATCAGTACATGTACCCTGTAGAGGGATGGATGTTGACTTGTGAACATTTGTCAATGTTCAGTACATGTGTCCTGTAGAGGGATGGATATTGACATGTGAATAGTTGTCAATGTTCAGTACATGTGTCCTGTAGAGGGATGGATGTTGACATGTGAATAGTTGTCATGTTTGACATGTGTCCTGTGGATATTGACATGTGAATGTTGTCAATGTTCACATGTGTCCTGTAGAGGGATGGATGTTGACATGTGAATAGTTGTCCATGTTTGGTACATGTGTCCTGTAGAGGGATGGATATTGACATGTGAATAGTTGTCATGTTCAGTACATGTATCCTGTAGAGGGATGGTTGTTGACATGTGAACATTTCTCAATGATCAGTACATGTGTCCTGTAGAGGGATGGATATTGACATGTGAATAGTTGTCAATGTTCAGTACATGTGTCCTGTAGAGGGATGGATGTTGACTTGTGAACATTTGTCAATGTTCAGTACATGTGTCCTGTAGAGGGATGGATGTTGACATGTGAATAGTTGTCAGTTCAGTTGTGTCCTGTAGAGGGATGGATATTGACATGTGAACATTTGTCAATGATACATGTGTCCTGTAGAGGGATGGATATTGACATGTGAACATTTGTCAATGTTCAGTACATGTGTCCTGTAGAGGGATGGATGTTGACATGTGAATAGTTGTCAATGTTCAGTACATGTGTCCTGTAGAGGGATGGATGTTGACATGTGAATAGTTGTCAATGTTCAGTACATGTGTCCTGTAGAGGGATGGTTGTTGACATGTGAACAGTTGTCTATGTTCAGTACATGTGTCCTGTAGAGGGATGGTTGTTGACATGTGAACAGTTGTCAATGTTCAGTACATGTATCCTTAAAAGGGATGGTTGTTGACATGTGAACAGTTGTCTATGTTCAGTACATGTGTCCTGTAGAGGGATGGTTGTTGACATGTGAACAGTTGTCTATGTTCAGTACATGTGTCCTGTAGAGGGATGGATGTTGACATGTGAATAGTTGTCAATGTTCAGTACATGTGTCCTGTAGTAGAGGGATGGTTGTTGACATGTGAACAGTTGTCTGTGTTCAGTACATGTGTCCTGTAGAGGGATGGTTGTTGACATGTGAACAGTTGTCTGTGTTCAGTACATGTGTCCTGTAGAGGGATGGTTGTTGACATGTGAACAGTTGTCTTTGTTCAGTACATGTGTCCTGTAGAGGGATGGTTGTTGACATGTGAACAGTTGTCTATGTTCAGTACATGTGTCCTGTAGAGGGATGGTTGTTGACATGTGAACAGTTGTCTGTGTTCAGTACATGTGTCCTGTAGAGGGATGGTTGTTGACATGTGAACAGTTGTCTGTGTTCAGTACATGTGTCCTGTAGAGGGATGGTTGTTGACATGTGAACAGTTGTCTTTGTTCAGTACATGTGTCCTGTAGAGGGATGGATATTGACATGTGAACAGTTGTCTATGTTCAGTATATGTACATGTGTCCTGTAGAGGGATGGTTGTTGACATGTGAATAGTGGTACATGTGTCCTACATGTGAACAGTTGTCTTTGTTCAGTACATGTGTCCTGTAGAGGGATGGATATTGACATGTGAACAGTTGTCTATGTTCAGTATATGTACATGTGTCCTGTAGAGGGATGGTTGTTGACATGTGAACAGTTGTCTATGTTCAGTACATGTGTCCTGTAGAGGGATGGTTGTTGACATGTGAACAGTTGTCTATGTTCAGTATATGTACATGTGTCCTGTAGAGGGATGGTTGTTGACATATGAACAGTTGTCTATGTTCAGTATATGTACATGTGTCCTGTAGAGGGATGGTTGTTGACATGTGAACAGTTGTCATGTTTAGTACATGTGTCCTGTAGTCGTATGTTTGTTGTCATTTGATCAGTTTTCTTTTTTCATTACATGTGTCCTGTAGAGGGATGGTTGTTGACATGTGAACAGTTGTCTATGTTCAGTACATGTGTCCTGTAGTAGGGATGGTTGTTGACATGTGAACAGTTGTCTATGTTCATGTACATGTGTCCTGTAGAGGGATGGTTGTTGACATGTGAACAGTTGTCTATGTTCAGTACATGTGTCCTGTAGAGGGATGGTTGTTGACATGTGAACAGTTGTCTATGTTCAGTATATGTACATGTGTCCTGTAGAGGGATGGTTGTTGACATGTGAACAGTTGTCTATGTTCAGTACATGTGTCCTGTAGAGGGATGGTTGTTGACATGTGAACAGTTGTCTATGTTCAGTACATGTGTCCTGTAGAGGGATGGTTGTTGACATGTGAACAGTTGTCTATGTTCAGTACATGTGTCCTGTAGAGGGATGGTTGTTGACATGTGAACAGTTGTCTATGTTCAGTACATGTGTCCTGTAGAGGGATGGTTGTTGACATGTGAACAGTTGTCTATGTTCAGTTCATGTGTCCTGTAGAGGGATGGTTGTTGACATGTGAACAGTTGTCTATGTTCAGTATATGTACATTTGTCCTGTAGAAGGATGGTTGTTGACATGTGAACAGTTGTCTATGTTCAGTACATGTGTCCTGTAGAGGGATGGTTGTTGACATGTGAACAGTTGTCTATGTTCAGTATATGTACATGTGTCCTGTAGAGGGATGGTTGTTGACATGTGAACACATGTGTCCTGTAGAGGGATGGTTGTTGACATGTGAACAGTTGTCTATGTTCAGTATATGTACATGTGTCCTGTAGAGGGATGGTTGTTGACATGTGAACAGTTGTCTATGTTCAGTATATGTACATGTGTCCTGTAGAAGGATGGTTGTTGACATGTGAACAGTTGTCTATGTTCAGTACATGTGTCCTGTAGAGGGATGGTTGTTGACATGTGAACAGTTGTCTATGTTCAGTATATGTACATGTGTCCTGTAGAGGGATGGTTGTTGACATGTGAACAGTTGTCTATGTTCAGTACATGTGTCCTGTAGAGGGATGGTTGTTGACATGTGAACAGTTGTCTATGTTCAGTACATGTGTCCTGTAGAGGGATGGTTGTTGACATGTGAACAGTTGTCTATGTTCAGTACATGTGTCCTGTAGAGGGATGGTTGTTGACATGTGAACAGTTGTCTATGTTCAGTATATGTACATGTGTCCTGTAGAGGGATGGTTGTTGACATGTGAACAGTTGTCTATGTTCAGTACATGTGTCCTGTAGAGGGATGGTTGTTGACATGTGAACAGTTGTCTATGTTCAGTACATGTGTCCTGTAGAGGGATGGTTGTTGACATGTGAACAGTTGTTGTAGAGGGATGGTTGTTGACATGTGAACAGTTGTCTATGTTCAGTATATGTGTCCTGTAGAGGGATGGTTGTTGACATGTGAACAGTTGTCTATGTTCAGTATATGTGTCCTGTAGAGGGATGGTTGTTGACATGTGAACAGTTGTCTATGTTCAGTATATGTACATGTGTCATCTTAACATTATAGTCAATGTTCAGTATATTTTATACATCTAGCTGAATAGGTCATCCAGCACTCTATGTCCTACATTTGCATTGAATGTGAAAGTGGTGTAGTAGTAGACACACATGTGTATACATAAGTGTTGGGAAAACCGATCTCCTATGAATAGACTGTGACTCACTTTCTCAGAACAAGGCCAGGTGTATTACTGTGGTGATAGAGACAGCAGTAAGACAGAGGAGGTTACCACGTATGTACAAAGCAGACAGGAAAGCCATTCAGTTTCATATGTTTTGTGTTTTTGTAGGAATATTTTACTTGCATGATGTAGTCATATGTTTAGTCAACGAATGCATTTTTTTAATCTTATACCAATAACTTGAGTAAAGCCTACCAGGTGTGTGTAAGTTGAAAAACCGAAAAGGCACGTGTCAGGTTTACCCCTCATTGCTATGCATACTGTAATTTTTTATATCCTGTCTGTAGAATGATTCATTTGAACTGACTCTTCACCATATACCCAGGTGTGACAATGGGAAACTTCCATTACAAGACATTGTAAAACAGCTAAAATGCTTTCATTAGTGCTGTTTTTGGTTAGAATATATTTATAGCTTACGGTAACATTAATATGCATCTTGCATAATTCTGTTTGGTGATTGTGTTTACAGTTCTTGCATGTTTGAGATATCTAGAACCTTGTTTACATTAGGTAATTAATCTAGATTAACTTTGAAATGGATTATTTTTACTGACAGTACACATGTCTGTTATTGAGTGATTGCATTTAGATTTCTGACATGTTTTACTTGGTATGTAGAATCTTCTTCACATTCAGTAATTCATTTAGATTAACTTTTTGATGGATTTCTAAATAAAAATGTTTTCACTGACAGTATACATGTATGTTGTTCTTTTCAAGGCACTGGTACTTCATTTTGAAAACACCATGGTTATAAATAATAATTGTATTCTTATTTGTTTAAGGTGTAAAGACGTGTGGGTCAGCTGCTGACCTTGTTCCACAGATTGAGGAGTGCCAAGCTGGAGAGGACACTGTTACAGAGGAAACTGACCTCCATCAAGAGCTGAACATCAACAATATTCAGTCGGTCCTACTGAAAGCTCAGCGAGATCGCCTAGGGGAAACTGTTTCATGTGATTGGTCCAACGAATCACTGGCTTCAAGAACAAGCATCTGTAGCTCCAACCTGTTGGATTCTACAACCCCAACACCATACAGCGAAAGTGTAGTGGAGGACGAGGCAGAGAGTGGTTGTGGTGAAGAACTCTGTGAGTTTGACTCTCAGTTTCTAGAATCAGTAGAACGTGTGAAAATGATGTCAGGTAATATAAAACCTCCTAACATTCTTGTGTATTGTGGGAAGAAAGACACAGACAAAAAATTTGCTGCTGTGAAAGCAACTTTGGAACAGTGTATCAATCTAGAACGTTATGTTATCTATGCCTTAAACCATGACCAAGTGAAGCGGGATCCATGGGCAGATAACTCTGCTCTTCTGGTTGTGTCATGTGACAGTCTCCATGATGGAGTAGGAGATGCTTTTCTCCGATACTTTGAGAGTGGAGGCATCATTCTCAGTTTTGGTAGTCCGTTTGATGCCATGTTTGTTGCTAGGCATGAGATAGAGCATCAGGATCACATGGGGATTTCCAAAGTCAATTTTCTTACTTGGAAAGAAGTGTCTGTACTGTGTGGGAACCACTGGTATGATCCGAAAGAGGTCACAGGTGAAAAGGTCACTCTAACTGTTCTGGGGACAAACCATAATGGTCGTCCTGTTATCTTAGATGTGAAGTCACAGGCGGAGGAGGCTGGACATGCTATAATGTCACAGGTAAGATTTATAGTTGTGTGAGCTTGCCTGGCACTAATAGTAGATGTAGCTTGTTAGATAAATCTTTGTGTTTAGATTAGTGTGATAACAAGTGTATAGCTCAAGATCAACATAAAAACATCACTCCAACAATGTTTATCATAAAACTGTTATTCTGCATAATCAACATTTCAAACACCTGATATTTAGATGTTTTTAAAGTTAGACATGATTTAAGATGCTGAGGTGTAACAGTTGAATTATCATTACAGGTGTTATTAAACAGAGACCCAACAGAGCATTCTAGTTCAGCTGAGCAGTTTACTCTGCTGAAACAATCCAATCAGGACCGTTGTGACATGCTCAAAGAACTGTTACAGGACCTTGGTGTTGATACAGATACCAGCTCTGTACCAGTGTTTACACCATGTTACCTGTTGTCAAACAATGAGGTATGTGATGAATTATTAAATTTTCACAGATGTAACAGGTAGTATTGAATCCATTTAGAATTTCTCTTTTAGAATTTAGATTCAAAACAACTATTGATATAGCTATCTTTTAATAATTGTTGATTTAATCAAAATGAATATATTTATGTTGTACAGAGTGTCAAGTCCAAGTTTCTGGAGAGCGTGCAAACAAAGTTGAATGCAGATGGTAAACTCCTATCCAGTACTGTCACCCTACAATTTATGTCCGAGTACTCCCAAAGTGAAGGGCCTGTCACTGAGAGTCTTTTGCCTGTAGTGACTGGGCACTCCACTGGTCAAGGAGTTCTAAACTTCTTCAATGATGATGTCTACTTCAAAAACTTGTCCTCTACTACACTGGGAAATACACTGATGGTGATTGATGTGCTTCCTACCACAATGCCGCTTTTTGACAAGTGAGTAGTCAGCTTTCCCAACAACAAAACTAAATTTAGGACTAAACTTTAATTTGTGCAAAAATTTAATACATTATTTAGAATTAAATTAGAATATTGTCAAAGACATGTCATATAGTGATTTTAATTCTTCATAACCACATGTTTTACATATTGGTACAAAGGAGGTTTTAATAATTAACAAAGGTTGTCTGTGTGTACCTTTGTGTCACCTGTATCTGTTTGATGTACATGTGTGTCACCTGTATCTGTTTGATGTACCTGAGTGTCACCTGTACCTGTTTGATGTACCTGTGTGTCACCTATATCTGTTTGATGTACATGTGTGTCACCTATATCTGTTTGATGTACCTGTGTGTCACCTGTATCTGTTTGATGTACCTGTGTGTCATCTGTACCTGTTTGATGTACCTGTTTGATGTACCTGTGTGTCACCTATATTTGTTTAATGTACCTGTGTGTCACCTATATCTGTTTAATGTACATGTGTGTCACCTATATCTGTTTAATGTACCTGTGTGTCACCTGTATCTGTTTGATGTACCTGTGTGTCATCTGTACCTGTTTGATGTACCTGTTTGATGTACCTGTGTGTCACCTATATTTGTTTAATATACCTGTGTGTCACCTATATGTTTGATGTACCTGTGTGTCACCTATATCTGTTTGATGTACCTGTGTGTCACCTGTATCTGTTTGATGTACATGTGTGTCACCTATATCTGTTTGATATACCTGTGTGTCACCTGTATCTGTTTGATGTACCTGTGTGTGACCTGTATCTATATTAATGTACCTGTGTGTCACCTGTATCTGTTTGATGTACATGTATATCACCTGTATCTGTTTGATGTACATGTGTGTCACCTATATCTGTTTAATGTACCTGTGTGTCATCTGTACCTGTTTGATGTACCTGTGTGTCACCTATATGTTTGATTTACCTGTGTGTCACCTATATCTGTTTGATGTACATGTGTGTCACCTGTATCTGTTTGATGTACATGTGTGTCACCTGTATCTGTTTGATGTACATGTGTGTCACCTGTATCTGTTTGATGTACATGTGTATCACCTGTATCTGTTTGATGTACATGTGTGTCACCTATATCTGTTTAATGTACCTGTGTGTCATCTGTATCTGTTTGATGTACATGTGTGTCACCTATATCTGTTTGATGTACCTGTGTGTCACCTGTATCTGTTTGTTATACATGTGTGTCACCTGTATCTGTTTGATATACCTGTGTGTCACCTGTATCTGTTTGATGTACCTGTGTGTGACCTGTATCTATATTAATGTACCTGTGTGTCACCTGTATCTGTTTGATGTACATGTATATCACCTGTATCTGTTTGATGTACATGTGTGTCACCTATATCTGTTTAATGTACCTGTGTGTCATCTGTACCTGTTTGATGTACCTGTGTGTCACCTATATGTTTGATTTACCTGTGTGTCACCTATATCTGTTTGATGTACATGTGTGTCACCTGTATCTGTTTGATGTACATGTGTGTCACCTGTATCTGTTTGATGTACATGTGTGTCACCTGTATCTGTTTGATGTACATGTGTATCACCTGTATCTGTTTGATGTACATGTGTGTCACCTATATCTGTTTAATGTACCTGTGTGTCATCTGTATCTGTTTGATGTACCTGTGTGTCACCTGTATCTGTTTGATGTGCCTTTGTGTCACCTGTATCTATTTGATTTACCTGTGTGTCACCTGTATCTGTTTGATGTACCTGTGTGTCACTTGTGTCTGTTTGATGTACCTGTGTGTCACCTGTATCTGTTTTAATGTACAGTTCTTTGTAACTGTGTGTCACCTATATCTTTTTGATGTACATGTGTGTCACCTGTATCTGTTTAATGTGCCTGTGTGTCACCTATATCTGTTTTGACTGACAGGGGGGAAGGAGCCAACGTCGGTCCGGTAAGTAAGGAGGGGTCCTTAGCTGGGTAGATCACTGGAAGATGGATACCTGTTTTGATGTACAGTTCTTTGTACATGTGTGTCTCATGTATCTGTTTATTGTACATGTGTGTCACCTGTATCTGTTTGATGTACCTGTGTGTCACCTATATCTGTTTGATGTACATGTGTGTCACCTGTATCTGTTTGTTATACATGTGTGTCACCTGTATCTGTTTGATGTACCTGTGTGTCACCTGTATCTGTTTGATGTACCTGTGTGTGACCTGTTTCTGTTTGATGTACCTGTGTGTCACCTGTATCTATTTTAATGTACCTGTGTGTCACCTGTATCTGTTTGATGTACATGTATATCACCTGTATCTGTTTGATGTACATGTGTGTCACCTATATCTGTTTAATGTACCTGTGTGTCACCTGTATCTGTTTGATGTACATGTGTATCACCTGTATCTGTTTGATGTACATGTGTGTCACCTATATCTGTTTAATGTACCTGTGTGTCACCTGTATCTGTTTGATGTACCTGTGTGTCACCTGTATTTGTTTGATGTGCCTTTGTGTCACCTGTATCTATTTGATTTACCTTTGTGTCACCTGTATCTGTTTAATGTACCTGTGTGTCACCTGTATCTGTTTGATGTACCTGTGTGTGACCTGTTTCTGTTTGATGTACATGTGTGTCACCTGTATCTGTTTGATGTACCTGTGTGTCACCTGTATCTGTTTGATGTACCTGAATGTCACCTGTACCTGTTTGATGTACCTGTTTGTCACCTGTATCTGTTTGATGTACCTGTGTGTCACCTGTATCTGTTTGCTGTACCTGTGTGTCACCTGTACCTGTTTGATGTACCTGTGTGTCACCTATGTGTTTGATTTACCTGTGTGTCACCTATATCTGTTTGATGTACCTGTGTGTCACCTGTATCTATTTTAATGTACCTGTGTGTCACCTATATCTGTTTAATGTACCTGTGTGTCACCTGTATCTGTTTGATGTACCTGTGTGTCACCTGTATTTGTTTGATGTGCCTGTGTGTCACCTGTATCTATTTGATGTACATGTGTGTCACCTGTATCTGTTTGATGTGCCTGTGTGTCACCCGTATCTGTTTGATGTACATGTGTGTCACCTGTATCTGTTTGATGTACATGTGTGTCACCTGTATCTGTTTGATGTACATGTGTATCACCTGTATCTATTTGATGTACATGTGTGTCACCTGTATCTGTTTGATGTACCTGTGTGTCACTTGTATCTGTTTGATGTACCTGTGTGTCACCTGTATCTGTTTTAATGTACATTTCTTTGTACCTGTGTGTCACCTATATCTTTTTGATGTACATGTGTGTCACCTGTATCTGTTTGATGTACATGTGTGTCACCTGTATATGTTTGATGTACATGTGTGTCACCTGTATCTGTTTGATGTACATGTGTATCACCTGTATCTGTTTGATCTGTTTAATGTACCTGTGTGTCATCTGTATCTGTTTGATGTACATGTGTGTCACCTATATCTGTTTGATGTACCTGTGTGTCACCTGTATCTGTTTGTTATACATGTGTGTCACCTGTATCTGTTTGATATACCTGTGTGTGACCTGTATCTGTTTGATGTACCTGTGTGTGACCTGTATCTATATTAATGTACCTGTGTGTCACCTGTATCTGTTTGATGTACATGTGTGTCACCTGTATCTGTTTGATGTACATGTGTGTCACCTATATCTGTTTAATGTACCTGTGTGTCATTGTACTGTTTGATGTACCTGTGTGTCACCTATATGTTTGATTTACCTGTGTGTCACCTATATCTGTTTGATGTACATGTGTGTCACCTGTATCTGTTTGATGTACATGTGTGTCACCTGTATCTGTTTGATGTACATGTGTGTCACCTGTATCTGTTTGATGTACATGTGTATCACCTGTATCTGTTTGATGTACATGTGTGTCACCTATATCTGTTTAATGTACCTGTGTGTCATCTGTATCTGTTTGATGTACCTGTGTGTCACCTGTATCTGTTTGATGTGCCTGTGTGTCACCTATATCTTTTTGATGTACATGTGTGTCACCTGTATCTGTTTAATGTACCTGTGTGTCACCTGTATCTGTTTGATGTGCCTGTGTGTCACCTATATCTGTTTTGATGCACAGTGCTATGTACTTATGTGTCACCTATATCTTTTTGATGTACATGTGTGTCACCTGTATCTGTTTAATGTACCTGTGTGTCACCTGCATCTGTTTTGACTGACAGTGTCACCTGTATCTGTTTGTAGCAGCCTGGAGGGGTCCTGTGTGTCACCTGTATCTGTTTTGATGTACCTGTGTGTCACCTGTATCTGTTTATGTACATGTGTGTCACCTGTATCTGTTTGATGTACCTGTGTGTCACCTATATCTGTTTGATGTACATGTGTGTCACCTGTGTTTGTTATACATGTGTGTCACCTGTATCTGTTTGATGTACCTGTGTGTCACCTGTATCTGTTTGATGTACCTGTGTGTGACCTGTTTCTGTTTGATGTACCTGTGTGTCACCTGTATCTATTTTAATGTACCTGTGTGTCACCTGTATCTGTTTGATGTACATGTGTATCACCTGTATCTGTTTGATGTACATGTGTGTCACCTGTATCTGTTTAATGTACCTGTGTGTCACCTGTATCTGTTTGATGTACATGTGTATCACCTGTATCTGTTTGATGTACATGTGTGTCACCTATATCTGTTTAATGTACCTGTGTGTCACCTGTATCTGTTTAATGTACCTGTGTGTCACCTGTATTTGTTTGATGTGCCTGTGTGTCACCTGTATCTATTTGATTTACCTTTGTGTCACCTGTATCTGTTTAATGTACCTGTGTGTCACCTGTGTGTACCTGTGTGTGACCTGTATCTGTTTGATGTACCTGTGTGTCACCTGTATCTGTTTGCTGTACCTGTGTGTCACCTGTATCTGTTTGATGTACCTGTGTGTCACCTATATCTGTTTGATGTACCTGTGTGTCACCTGTATCTGTTTGATGTACCTGTGTGTCACCTGTATCTATATTAATGTACCTGTGTGTCACCTGTATCTGTTTGATGTACATGTGTGTCACCTGTATCTGTTTGATGTACCTGTGTGTGACCTGTTTCTGTTTGATGTACCTGTGTGTCACCTGTATCTGTTTGATGTACCTGTGTGTCACCTGTATCTGTTTGATGTACATGTGTATCACCTGTATCTGTTTGATGTACATGTGTGTCACCTATATCTGTTTAATGTACCTGTGTGTCACCTGTATCTGTTTGATGTACCTGTGTGTCACCTATATCTGTTTGATGTACCTGTGTGTCACCTGTATCTGTTTGATGTACCTGTGTGTCACCTGTATCTGTTTGATTACCTGTGTGTCATGTACTGTTTGATGTGTGTGTGACCTGTATCTGTTTGATGTACCTGTGTGTCACCTTTATCTGTTTGATGTACATGTGTGTCACCTGTATCTGTTTGATGTACATGTGTGTCACCTATATCTGTATCTATTGTGTCATGTACCTGTGTGTCACCTGTGTGTCTGTTTGATGTACCTGTGTGTCACCTGTATCTGTTTGATGTACATGTGTGTCACCTGTATCTGTTTGATGTACCTGTGTGTCACCTGTATCTGTTTGATGTACCTGTGTGTCACCTGTATCTGTTTGATGTACCTGTGTGTCACCTGTATCTGTTTGATGTGTGTGTCACCTGTATCTGTTTGATGTACTGTGTGTCACCTGTATCTGTTTGACCTGTGTGTCACCTGTATCTCTTTGCTGTACCTGTGTGTCACCTGTATCTGTTTGATGTACCTGTGTGTCACCTGTATCTGTTTGATGTACCTGTGTGTCACCTGTATCTGTTTTAATGTACAGTTCTTTGTACCTGTGTGTCACCTATATCTTTTTGATGTACATGTGTGTCTCATGTATCTGTTTATTGTACATGTGTGTCACCTGTATCTGTTTGATGTACCTGTGTGTCACCTGTATCTATTTGCTGTACCTGTGTGTCACCTGTATCTGTTTGATGTACCTGTGTGTCACCTATATCTGTTTGATGTACATGTGTGTCACCTGTATCTGTTTGTTATACATGTGTGTCACCTGTATCTGTTTGATGTACCTGTGTGTCACCTGTATCTGTTTGATGTACCTGTGTGTGACCTGTTTCTGTTTGATGTACCTGTGTGTCACCTGTATCTATTTTAATGTACCTGTGTGTCACCTGTATCTGTTTCATGTACCTGTGTGTCACCTGTATTTGTTTGATGTACATGTGTGTCACCTGTATCTATTTGATTTACCTTTGTGTCACCTGTATCTGTTTAATGTACCTGTGTGTCACCTGTATCTGTTTGATGTACCTGTGTGTGACCTGTTTCTGTTTGATGTACCTGTGTGTCACCTGTATCTGTTTGATGTACCTGTGTGTCACCTGTATCTGTTTGATGTACCTGAATGTCACCTGTACCTGTTTGATGTACCTGTTTGTCACCTGTATCTTTTTGATGTACCTGTGTGTCACCTGTATCTGTTTGCTGTACCTGTGTGTCACCTGTACCTGTTTGATGTACCTGTGTGTCACCTGTATCTATTTTAATGTACCTGTGTGTCACCTATATCTGTTTAATGTACCTGTGTGTCACCTGTATCTGTTTGATGTACCTGTGTGTCACCTGTATTTGTTTGATGTGCCTGTGTGTCACCTGTATCTATTTGATGTACATGTGTGTCACCTGTATTTGTTTGATGTGCCTGTGTGTCACCCGTATCTATTTGATGTACATGTGTGTCACCTGTATCTGTTTGATGTACATGTGTATCACCTGTATCTGTTTGATGTACCTGTGTGTCACCTGTATCTGTTTGATGTGCCTGTGTGTCACCTGTATCTATTTGATATACCTGTGTGTCACCTCTATCTGTTTGCTGTACCTGTGTGTCACCTCTATCTCTTTGCTGTACCTGTGTGTCACCTGTATCTGTTTGATGTACCTGTGTGTCACATGTATCTGTTTGATGTACCTGTGTGTCACCTGTATCTGTTTTAATGTACATTTCTTTGTACCTGTGTGTCACCTATATCTTTTTGATGTACATGTGTGTCACCTGTATCTGTTTAATGTACCTGTGTGTCACCTGCATCTGTTTGATGTGCCTGTGTGTCACCTATATCTGTTTTGATGCACAGTGCTATGTATTTATGTGTCACCTTTATCTGTTTGCTGTTCATGTATATCACCTACATCTGTTTTGATGCACAGTGCTATGTACTTATGTGTCACCTTTATCTGATCATTTTGTTAACAGGCTACAGTTTTGTGTACCCAGTGGTGCAGGAGTAATTGCCATTCCAGGCAAACAGACGCGAGGCAAAGGTTGGTCATGTTTTTTTAAATACCACAATAATGTGAGGTACAAGTTGTGACTGAAAGAATTGTTTTTAGATATGATATAAATCTATATAACAGGCAAAGATAGATTGGGCTACAGTGGTTTTGTTAAATACCACAATAATGTGAGGTACAAGTTGTGACTGAAAGAATTGTTTTTAGATATGATATAAATCTATATAACAGTATAAAAGTGATGATAAAGATAGATTGGGCTACAGTGGGACACTATAAGTTAATGTTAGTAGGGCTACAGAGACTTGTGAGTTAATGTTGGTAGGGGTTCAGGGACATTGTGAGTTAATGTTGGTAGGGGTTCAGGGACATTGTGAGTTAATGTTGGTAGGGGTTCAGGGACATTGTGAGTTAATGTTGGTAGGGGTTCAGGGACATTGTGAGTTCATGTTGGTAGGGGTTCAGGGACATTGTGAGTTCATGTTGGTAGGGGTTCAGGGACATTGTGAGTTCATGTTGGTAGGGGTTCAGGGACATTGTGAGTTCATGTTGGTAGGGGTTCAGGGACATTGTGAGTTCATGTTGGTAGGGGTTCAGGGACATTGTGAGTTCATGTTGGTAGGGGTTCAGGGACATTGTGAGTTCATGTTGGTAGGGGTTCAGGGACATTGTGAGTTCATGTTGGTAGGGGTTCAGGGACATTGTGAGTTCATGTTGGTAGGGCTACAGAGGGACATTGTGAGTTATTGTTGGTAGGATAATATGGGCATTATGAATTAGTGTTGGAAGTACTACTGGGACAATGTGAGTTAATGTTGGTAGGACTACAGAGACAATGTGAGTTAATGTTGGTAGGATAATAGGGGCATTGTGAATTAATGTTGGAAGTACTACTGGGACAATGTGATTTAATGTTGGTAGGACTACAGAGACCTTGTGAGTTAATGTTGGTAGGGCTACATGGGCATTATAAGTAAATGTTGGAAGTACTACTGGGACATTGTGAGTTAATGCTCGTAGGATAACAGGGGACAGGGGTATTATGAGTAAATGTTGGAAGCACTACTAGGACAGTAAATGTTGGGAGGGCTACAGGGACATTGTGAGTTAATGATAATTGGTAGCTCTTCTGAGATAGTGGCTTAAATTATCATCGGTTAAAATACAGGGATATAGAAATATTTCGAGTGAATGTTTGAAGAACTACATGGAAATTTTGATTTAATGCAAGTAGCCAGTACTTTTGAGTTTATGTTGTTACAACAACATGGATATTTTAAGTTCAATACTTTGTACACCTATATCGATTATTTACTGTTGTAGGCCGTGGTGGCAATGCCTGGCTTAGTCCTGTGGGCTGTGCCATGTTCTCTCTCCTTGTCAGTGTACCTATGGACAGTCCTCTTGGCCGACATGCATCCTACCTCCAACACATCACCTCACTGGCTGTCGTGGAGAGTGTACGCTCCCTTCCAGGTTACCAGGTAAATACAAGACATCCTTTCAATACTGGGATATTGGATGAATAGGAAGTTAAATTATCTATAAATTTTGTGGAAAATCTACTTTCCATAACATATTCTCTAATGAATACCTGATTAACAGTGAAGCCAGGATGATAACCTAGTGACCTTTTATGTACATTTTGTATATTCCTTGCATGCATTCAGTAATAATCTCATCGCTACAAATGTCGGAGAGTGGATATAGGGATGTTCCAATAGATAACACATGGCATACATAATGTAGGAGTTATACTTGTCAAACTTCACACGCTCATAAAGGACCATTAGATCTTAGACTTGTTCCATTTCTCATAGTTGTAGGGTTGGGGTCACTGTAACTACTGTTAGTAAATCTTTATCAGAACTCTTTGTAGTTTCATTCCTGAAAGGATTTCAGTCAAATTTTGTATTTATGTAAAGAACCATAATATAATAATTCATTGCTTAATTTAAGTTCAAAGTTGTCCAGGTCCAGGTCAAAGTCACCATTACTATTTTTAGAAAAACCTTGTAACTACTGCTGGTACTCTTAACCAGTAACTTCATAAATTACTTGAGAGATTTTGATTAATCTTCACACTCTTGATCATCATCTTTCTTGATTACTGAGCTTAAGTCATGGTGGAACTGCAGTTATGGGATTTGTATCATTAACAATGCCTTGTTATTGAATAACTTCGGCTTACACATTATGAATACCATCAATGATTTTGTTTGATTACTATGTTATATATAACCTTGTTAAGGAAAGGATATTGTAATCTGGTTAAGGAAAGGAGTTTGTAACCTAACCTGGTTAAGGAAAGGAGATTATAACCTGGTTAAGGAAAGGAGATTGTGAAATGTGTAAATCATTACTGAGTAGGCTTACATTTTATGAATACCTCAATAAACAAATGTTGATATCACAGCTTCTGGTGTACATAATTATTGTTACTCGGAATTGTGTCATGACAGACAAGTATAATATCAAAACACTAGTTTAACCAAATTTGATATTAAAAATCATGTTATCCTTTCAACAGTTTCTGTTATATGATATACTTCTAGGACATTGACTTAAGGTTGAAGTGGCCAAACGACATATACTTTAGTAACAAGATGAAGCTTGGGGGAGTCGTTATTAAGTCAACCATCACTGATGGTGTTCTTCAAGCAAACATTGGTAAGTATTCATTTACTACAAAGTGTGACAAATCAAATCATAATTACTGAGATTGAGAAGACTAAGGAGTATTTTCATGGAACCAAGAACTGGCTGTAGCTTGAGAAATTCTCTAATTGTAGGTGACTTGTAATTTTGTATGTACATTCAATAGATAGTGGACCTTAAGTGAGTTTCAATTTCATGTGGAATTTATTTACCAAGTTCAATGATTTCATAAGAAAGACAAATTATTTAGTGGGTTTTAGTAACTCCATATCACATGGACATGAGTATGTGATTCTGTTTATCTTATAGCACAAATGAAAAACTTGAAAACTTAAATAAAATTCTCAATAATTGAAGCAGGCTTATTTCAAATTGGATGGGACAGTTTTTAACTACTGACACAATTATGTGATAACATCAAGACGTGACTTATTTAGATATTACAATAGAGGTTATTGCAGATTTTTCTTATGATATCTAAGACATGGCCAGTGATGTGACCCAACAGGTCAGTTATGGAATAAAATCTACTCTAACATTCAAATTCTGATTGTTGCTCTCTTCAATGAGACTTTGTTGCTGAAAATGTTTCCTTTTGTGTTTTAAGATTTAGTTGTTTTAGATCAGGTAGTCTGTCACTGATATATAAGAATTAATGAAATTAGTCCCTCAAAAACCAGAGACTCCATATCAATAGAATTTTTTGTAGTGTGTCAATAAACTTTAAAACACTAATAAATTTTAGTGGAAAAAAGAAATTAAATTTTGTGTTATTTTGTACTAGGTTGCGGTTTTAATGTCAGCAACAAGAATCCAACAATTTGTATCAACGATCTGATCGAGCGCCACAACAACGAGACAGGAAACACACTGGATCTGTGTAGTAAAGAACAATTGGTAGGACGTACAGTGTCCATCATAGAACACCTGATCAACCAGTTCCAGACTGAGGGTGAAAGCAAGTTCCTCCAACTCTACTGCCAACGCTGGCTACACAGGTGAGGTGACCCTGCAAAAAATGGCTACTCCAGATAGAGATACCGCTGATACATATACTGGCTTGTCATGTATCAAATGTTACAGTAACTAATGTCACTTTTATTTTCAAGGATAGAGTAACAGGGTGTTCTTCACAATTTCATAGATTTAGTACATGGTTCAGAATTTGAATTTTTGAGATGCTGTTTTCATAAATATTAGTACAGACCTTTCGATTTCAATGAAAATCCTCCAATACAAGCTTGAATAATAGGACTATTGAACAAATCATAACTAAGAAATTTTCATACAATCTATTGAAATACAAAATCCTGTGTGATATCTTTCTCCACCTTAAGTCTGTGGAATTATATTGATCTTGACAGTGGCAGTCGTGTGCATCTAGAGGAGGAGAATATTGATGTAACAATACAGGGCCTGGATGAGTACGGCTATCTGGATGTGATCGCAGATGATGGAACTAGACACTCAGTACAGCCTGATGGAAACAGCTTTGACATGATGAGGAATCTGATCTCCATGAAGACTCGTTAGAAAATTTCACCAGGAAATGATTCATTCCATGAAGAAATGGCAATAAAGAAGACTTCCATACATAATTTAGATATTAATAAATTATGGAGATGTGAAGGATAGTCGAAGAAGATATATAGAATATGTATTTGTAATTTAAAGTTAAAGGAACAGTACATATATTACTATTTAAAAGTAGGACTGAAGATATTGCAGAACTCCACTTTAGCCAAGAAAAGCTTTAGCCAAGATCCTACACAAGTATTGGTGGATACACAGAAACCTCACACAAAGTCTGTATAGTACAGTGTACCAGATCAGAGAGTTAGATGAATGTGTGGTAATTCTACATTGTGATTGATAAATAAGAGCTGTACTTAGCTGTTTTGAATGGAGAGTTAGATATCAACCGATACTTAAAATTAAAATCAGGATATCTCTGAACATGTAATTACACCTCTCCAGGATTTAATTACAGCACAGGGAATCTTTATGAAATTTTATGAACTTTTAAGATGTGTGCCTGGACAGACTCTGAATGTGGTTTGAAATAATTTATAACATCATTTGTTGCACCTGTAGGACTCTACAACTTGTGATGAGACTGTTAATGTTTCAAGTTTACCATGAACAGCATTTATTTTCTGATGTCAAATATGACTACATTTAAAAAGCATTTCTGTGAAATATAAATTAGTTACATGCGTCCTTTTTGATAAAATATTCATTAACAGAATGGACCTCAATTCCTTTATGATATATACAAAGTATGTATCAAATTAGCACTGACATTTCTTACATTATCTGAAAAATCTTTTACACTTTAACAATTGTAAATGTTCTTTAATATATATGCAGCAAAACATCTAGAGGAAAACATTTTCAAAAAAACACAGCAAATAAGTCCAACAATTTAGTTTGGGTTGATCTACAATTTTTTCATATATATATTGTCATCTTATTCATAAAATTGAATGCAGAATAATTTTGTAGCTAGCAAAGACATTTTTTTTCATTCTTTTTTTATTCAAGTTGCCGAAATAAAATAGAAAAATAGTGAAATTCCTTGGAAAGTAGGTATCCTCAGGTAGCAAGAGGAACCTTCAAGCACAATTAATGATTTTGATTGGAATATCAACATTTTGTAAATTTTGTGCATTAATAGGAATTTTGTGGATATGATATTTGTTTTAATTTCCTACACCAGCTTTGCCTTGCTTGCAGTTCATACCACAGCTTACCTTTGTGTACATGTTAATATGTAATGAATTTTTTTGCATTTTGAAAACTATTTACATTACATGGTCATATCTTTTACAGTTAGTGAAATGTTTAACAGTTAAGTGTACATGCATTAATTAAAATGAAGTGCTAATTATATCTTACTTACAGTAAAATGGTTGTTGGTGCCAATATGCAAAATGAGTATGTTTATTTACTCATTGAATAGAAATTTGTATTGACTTAATTGCTATTCTTATAATTAAAACACAGTAAAATATGTAATAAATGGATGCTATACTTGTGATATATATGCTTTTGGGTTTATCCTTTGGAGTTTTTTTTCACAAATATGTCTCTGTAATACATTTACACTTTAAACATACGATTTCCTTAAAAAATAGTTTGTCAAGGAAAAAAGAGAAAATGTTCTCTGTGTAAGCTATTGAAATGATGAGTTTGTTACGAGTTATTGATTTGTGAATAAATTTCAACACACACAGTGTCTTTGGTTTATGTTCAGTCAAAATACCACCAAATAAAGGTCACACAATTTGATCTTTCACTACATGCTGGTTTTACGAAATTGAATAAATTTCATGTTTGATAGTAGAAATATACCAATTCATGTGATTTTTTTTTTTTTCTTTTCTTTTCTTGAGCTTTAGAAGTTTTCTAGCTCTTTTGAATAAGGATTTACTTCTCTTTACTGGTGTGCTTGTTATCAGCTCCAATGGAAAGAAAAAGAGACTTGGTGTAAAACTTTTAGATACTTTGTGTTTTGATCAGGAAATTGAAGCAATAATTTGTTACATTGAATTTATTTTTTAACTATGTATGATCACTGTGTAACTCCACTATATTTTATCATGCTAGTAAAACTGGTGTAGCCAAAATTGGCTTATGATATTCATCATCTTGTCACGTCTGTTACTTTTGATTGCTGAAAATTTGGTATCGCTCCTAAATTACATTTGAACGATGTGTTTTATACACAGGTTAACCATGTCAGTCATTTCCTGAAGATTTAAGGTCACTAAGAGGTTATTCCCTGTGAACAGTTTCCCTTATATCACTGATAACTCCTCAAGGGACCCACAAGACTCTGTCATTTCAGTCAATAACAGTGTAATCTGGTGGGTGTATGTTGCTTCTACTCAACACTACTGGAGACTCACCTCAGCCAGGTTGAGTGTATGCTTACCTTACATTCTCTAAAATATATGTTTAAAATTAAAGTTGTGTATATATGCATAGGAAAATATGCTTCTGTATCAGTTATGGTTACGATGTATATACTTAACATACAGAAAACGAAACACACCTGATACATGTAAAAATAATTACCTGATAATTACATATAGTGAACATTAAATGTGATAAGTGGTATTATATATGGTATTTATATAGGAAATGATGATTAACCTCTCTCTAGAAATCAATTTTGTAAAGTTTGTCATATCAAATCTTTGACATATCTAAGTTTAAATTGAATTATTTCATGATTGTGAACTATTATGTTACAATTTAATTTGAATTATATGTGATTACTAACTCAGTTTTCGCAAAAGTGATTATTCTAAACATTACTCCATGCACTAAACAAGTTTTGTTGTGTCAGGAATGAGGATAAGCCATTTCTTTGTCAAGTAACTTTAACTTCATGCTATTATTACCACATCATTCAGGTTTGATTTCTCATTTTCAGTCTTATGCATACAACAGTATTGTTATAGTAATATTTAAATTTTGATGGAAGCGTTTTTGCTGCTGAAAAGAAAAAAGCTCACTTGCATGCATTTGTGAGAGGACATTTCAACAGTTTAATTGCAATAAAATTCAGCCGCATAATTCTGAAAAGGTTGATTCTACAAACATATTTTTTTGTATATAGAAGAAAGATCCATTTGTTAACATTTCTGGATACTCACCATGACACTCGCTCTATCAACACCTCATGTACAATGACAATAGTATGGTTAGCTAGTCTGTAAAAGTCTATAGAATCAGACATCTCATTTTATTTACATCATAACAAAAGTTCTGTCATCAAGTTGACTGAAGTTAAAAAAGGAATTTATTTAGTAAAAAGGTTGCTGTAGGTCTGTCAACATTAAGTGCAATGATGAAATTCGGTCACAAGAACCATAAAAGCTTCTGTTTATGCAAATGTTTTATGAGTTTATTCAGAAATTTGAAGAGGTTGTCACAACGACTATTTATGAAACAACAACATACAAAGGATTTAAATTTAAAGTATGTATTTATATAATGTTTTCTAAAACAATAGTACTCACATTCCTTGCATACAAGCTAATGTACATGTAATTTCGAAATATTGACAAAGAGGGTAGGCCACCCAAACATTTACATGACTTATTAATAGTATCCTTATATGGCAAGTAATATATACAGTCGTAATACTATTGAGTTGATTGACTGTAAAAGCACCTGTGACGTACGCCGTAATTCTGGTGGAATAAAGCAATATCACAACGATGATAGAACTCAAGGACCATGTGGCAAAAAAAAAAAAAAAAAACCTAACCATGGAGATACCGTCCAACAATATCACTGGAAGTTCTATTATTAACTTTAAAGTCATGAAAACATGCTACAATATAGGGATAGGAAACAGGTCTTTCCTTTCCCTGAACTGTCACTAAAACTACACCAATACGTGTAAATAATACGGTAGTGTGTTTATTCAACCAATGTTTAGGAATTTTGTAAAGATTTGCTGTATTTGGCATAAGTGTATTTATATGTCAATAAATGTGGGTTGACAACTCTGTTTTTTCTGTATTTTTTATTGGATATGGAGAGAATGTGTAACGGTTACGTACAGATAAGGAGGTGGAGGCCAGTCCATGATAGGTAGGTAAGGATGATAATTGTCTCTATGTTAACCATCGCTATCAAATTTGGAAATTTTCACATTTACAAAAAAATGTCGACCAGAACATTGATTAATCACTTATCCATTTTTGAAGATTTAGTCAAAACTGTGGAAATGTTAGAAAGGAAATAAAAAAAAAAAAAAGGGGGGGGGGGGGGGGGGGGGGGGGGTGGATGAGGTGTCGGTACAAAGTTGTCTGAATTCATTGCATCTAACAATTACACACTTGTAAAACTATATGATGGCACAGTCATTGTGTTTTAGTTAGAGTTAACTCCCTTACACTACGTATAATTTTTTTTCATGTACAAAACGTTATTTGTGAAAGTATATTCCAAAATTTCTGACATTGAATGTATCATCAGGAGTAAATTTTCTTACAATAAGTGTATCATCAGGAGTAAATTTTGATTTTTGGCCTATGATAGGTTCAATGTCGATGTGGGTTCCAAATGCATATAGTTTATCTATTTTTACTTCCAGGTTTTTACAACATTTTGTTTACTTTCGGTTTGACGTCGCGATGGCCGAACTGGTGTGAAATCCGAAGGTAAGTTAACTTTTTTTTTCACATCGGAGTAGAAGAGCTTAGAATCTATATTCAAGTCCGTGATGTAATAGAAGAGAGAAATGAAAAATGCTCTGTCCTCGTAGGAGCTTGAATAGGCTGCTTTCACTCAAAAGGTGTGAATTCCACCATCCGAAAGCAGTAATCAAGATGACATGTCCTGACAGCTTTTACACTATTTTCTACTTCCTCTTTCACTGTCTCATTATTACCATAATCCAAAATTAAATTCAAGGAAACCAGGACAAAATAGTAAAAAAAGAACGATTTACACGAAGACTCATGAAAAAGTACAAAAAGAATAAAACCCAATGTTCCGGAAGAGCAAGTGGCATGTGCTTCATCGACGACACCCGTCATGTAAACCTTGATCAATCCAGGTAATATTATGTCCTCAAACGAGAAGAATAAGGTATACAACAATGTAATCGTCAAGTAAACTAACGAACATCAAACACTGTCCGTTTCACATTGCACAAAGAAATATAAGACAACCGTAAAACGCCCTATCAATTTTCATCAGTCTGCATCGTATGAAACCAGTATTACGAGATTATCCGTCAGTTTACGACTTCTTGCACGAAAATCGTGATAATGGGAAAAGACCCCTGAATATCGAATCAGCTGCTATATGTAAAAAATATATATGTTGGAGATGCAGGGATGTTGGTATCCTGAAACAGAAAATTCACAATAGCGAAATTGAAATAATCACATTTATCATACAGCTTGGTGGAAAGCTGTCCATGTTTGCTTTGTTGTAGGAAAAGATAAGCGGCTGATTTAGAAGAGTCTGTCGTGTCTTTAATTTCCAATGCTGGTTGGTACAAGAGATGGACGTGGTCAATAAATTTCTTGGGTTTATCAAGAAAAGACGTCATCAATATACCTGAAAGTTAAATTGTGTCTGTTTTGATAAGCTCTTCAATAGATTTAGCCTCGTATGAAAACAAAAAAACAAGTCAGCTAACAGAGGGAGAAAATTAGTTGCCATAGATATTCCAATTGTCTGTCGGAAGTTTATGCCACCAAGCCCGACGAAGATGTGGTCAAATAGAAAAAAGACAGCCCTCTCACAACCACAAACCATATTCTAGTTCTATTGTAAGGATATTACATATACAACAACATCAATTAACTAATGGTAAGCAGTAATCGGAAACGTCCTGTGGTCACAAGGCGGACACTATACAGTTATATTAATGGGAGATTCCACTAGGCGATGCTACGTACTCTCAGCTTCCACGCGTGTAAATTGTGTAACATTTACACATGCAGTAATTGTTCTACGAAAGACATTTTGACAGGACTGCTATAAAAGATAAGGTGTGCTCACATTATCAATACATTTAAGTGTGTTTTTCGACTCTCTATGCACGACAATGGGTGCAATGGGAACCACCACTAAGACAAAAAATAAAATCATGGATAGATTGTTAATTCCATTCTGACTACTAAGAGTGGAGTTGTGTCTGCAAAACAGACCAGGTTCCATTTTATTCAAATAAATAATGACTTTAAAGTTTCTTAATATGTTATGTATATGTCGAAGGCCAATTTTTAGGATAGAGCAGTCGCATGTTTTTTTTTTTTGTTTTTTTTTGTTTTTTTGTTTTGTTTTTTGTTTTTGTTTTTTTGTCGAGTGTTGACGTGAATACACAATGCATTTTCAGTTTCCCTATTGTAAATGTTCCATTTCTTGATAGTAATAACCCAGCATCCTCAACCTTTAGTGTTTATAGGCCTGTTCCCGTTATCACGATTTGCGTGCATGAAGTCGTCAAGTGACGGGCAATCTCGTAACACAGGGTTTCAAAAGATGCAGGTTGATGAAAATTATGGGGAAGTTTTCCGGACGTCATGGTGATTTCATTGAGAAATACTCTATTTCTTTGTGCGATATGAGAGTGGACAGTTCGATACTCGTTAGTTTGCCTGTTGGGACCGTTTTTGTATACATTGTTCTGATTTACTTGGATTGACCAAGGTTTACATGGCCGGTGTTGTCGATGAAGTAAAAGATGTTCACTCTT